GCTATATAACTCAATTGTAGTGTGGGTTACCCTAAATTTATTGTTCTAATATGATTGTATATGTAGTATATATGCACGAAAACAATATAAATAGTATGATGCTATTTACACTTTTTTTACCTTTTACACATTTCTGGTAGTTTCTATTATTTGATATTTTTTAGTTCATTCGGTCTAACGGTTGTAATTGAGAGGAATTTGTAAAAGGTAGAAACGAATGTGTGGGTACCTCAACAACACCTTATAAATAATGGGTGCACTATCCACATAACAATTTTTACCTCCCACCTATTCCTTGTTAATTTTTTTAATCTTTTTCAATTCATTTGATCTGACTGATGAAAATTAAAAGGCGTGTGTGAAAGTAAAAAATGATGTGTAAATAACACTAGTATAAATAATATCAAAAAAAAATGTGAATAGACAAAAATAGGCACCAGGCCAGGCTTTGCCTTGAGCTCAAGGATAGAGAGATTAGATGGATGGAGTGTAAAATTGAGCAAGTCAGGTGCTAAAACGGTAGCTAGAGTCCCTTGCCTTGTCATGCATCTCTGCAACTTTGCTTATTTTGGTTTCTTCCCTCCTTGTAAGCAAACCTGGCACTGATTCTAATCTTGCAGATTTCACGTCACCCTTCACCAAAATATTGTCCTAAAAAATCGTTCAGTCCTTGTAGTTTTCATGAAATTTCACCTTCGTGCCTGTATTTTCGACACATCGAATTGGTACACGTAGATTGCGAACTTGTTCCAATTCGAGGACATCCGTCAAAGTGCTATTTACGACTTATGTCCTTGAATTGGAATAATTCACAACTCTACTTTACTAAATTCGATGATTGAAAATACAAAAAGCGGGAATAAAATCCTTGTTCTAGCGTAGAAATTAAACCTTTGGTTTTTTTTGGTTCATGGTTCTTTCATTTGATGGACTTGTATTGTGGCACGCAGTATTTTCGAACCCACAACAGCATACAAAACCTATTCAACGGCAGCCGTGGCAGCGCTGGAAATGGAAACAATGCCCCTAGCGGCGGAGCCAAGACGGTGGGGAGATGGCTGAAGGAGAGAAAAGAGAAGAAAAGGGAGGAGACAAGAGTGCATAATGCGCAGGTCCATGCTGCGGTTTCAGTTGCGGCGGTGGCTGCCGCTGTGGCCGCCATTGCTGCAGGCACGGCGGCTTCTTCAGGGTCAAGAAAGAACGATCAAGCAGGGAAGACAGACATGGCGGTGGCTTGTGCCGCCACGTTGGTAGCTGCTCAATGTGCTGAGGCTGCGGAGGCTATGGGAGCTGACCATGACCATCTTACTTCTGTCGTCAGCTCCGCTGTTAATGTTCGCTCTCATGATGATATTACCACTCTCACTGCAGCTGCTGCCACAGGTACCATTGATTCCTAGCTCATAAATTACTACACAAAATTATCTTGCCAAATTTGCTAAAGATGTTACATTTTTATTTTATCACATTGGCCAACCAATTGTTGTGTTAATTAGTAAGTGGTCGCATAACGTTCACACGCTAATGTGGGTGGTCTTAAAAATATTGTCCTTTCTGTAGTGTTGTCGTTTATTTCATATTTACTAATTATATTGTTGGATAGAATCTGTCTTATGATAAGAAATAAATACTCTAGAGTTTACATGACTAATTATGTGACCTGGTCACGTTTTTTTTATGTAAATACTATATCACCATGACATATATAACGTATTTTTTCACATTGATAACCTCTCACAATAATGCTATTTGGACATATTAATTTGATCACATTATTGATGCATTTTTTAATAAAATAATGTGATCGATTTTGTGTATCTGAGTAGTACATCTCTGTTTGAGTTGCTCACCTTGCTAATCGGTAAATGTAGTTTTAAAACATTCTCTAAATAAAAAATTAAAGTTTAATAAATTTTAAAACAAATTAAAGTTTAATAATATTCAACTTTTAAAAAATTTGTCTAATATGGCAGCTTTACGAGGGGCAGCGACCCTAAATGCAAGGGCAATGAAGGAGGCGTGGAACGTGTCAGCAGTGATTCCAGTGGAAAAGGGAATGGGAATCGGAGTCTGCGCTGGTAAAGCTAACAACAACAACGGTGGTGATCGCAGCAGCGGCAGCAGCTTTAGTGACGATCTTGTCCCTGTTGACCCTACGTTTCTTGGGGTCTCTAACCAAGACCTCCTTGCTAGGGGCACTGAACTCCTCAAACGCACACGAAAAGGTATTTCAATGAAAATTAAATTTAAAAAAAAAAAAAAAAAAAAGAGTAGAGTACTTAAATTTGATCTAAGTTGAACTTTATGGTTTGCATTTTGCAGGTGACCTCCACTGGAAACTAGTGTCTGTTTACATTCACCTAACCGGACAGGTGAGACTTCGCGGTTAACTGCACTTTTTTCTCTCTTATATGTTATGTTGTCAGCACCGTCACTCCAACCCCGTCAAATGAGGCAAAATTCCTTCCCAGTTCAGGTTTTCAATGATAAACTGTGCACGTAAATGGATGGAGAATCAACTTACTTGACGAATAAGACTAAAGTGAAACATAATGTAAATACGCGGTTGAGAACGCAAGAAGAAATATGATTGTTGATATGTTGTCGATAAACTTGACAGCACCTAATGTAACCAAAATCTTCGTACTATAGTCGTCACTTTTCATTAATCCTACGGTGAATTTTTATAGGTGATGCTGACAATGAAGAGCAAACACGTTGCAGGAACTTTCACCAAGAAGAAGAAGAGTAAGCCTACTTCTCTCCTGCACTTTGAAATTTAATGTGAAATAATTTTAACGTAAACGTTGATTTCGGGTGCGCAGATGTTGTGTTGGAGGTGTGCAAGAGCATGCCGGCATGGCCCGGGAGACATTTGTTCGACGACGGAGACCAGCGTCGTTACTTTGGGCTGAAGACAGAAGCGAGAGGCATTGTTGAGTTCGAGTGCAAGAACCAGAGAGAACACGACGTCTGGACTCGCGGCGTTTCGAGGCTGCTGTCTATTGTCGCCGAGGGAAAGAACAGGCATTGATTAGGTCTATGCATTATGTTAACAAATCGGTTGACATAGGATGCTGTTATTTTTGGATGTTGAAAAATCTGGCAGGACTGTGATTTCTGTTGCATTCGGATAAATAGGGAGGTGTTAGGCACATGTAGTGTACTGTAGTGTAGGGGGAGTAAGAGGAAGAGGTCATGAGCAAAGAGAAATTTTTAGTTGAAACGGGAACACAAGTAATACACCACGTGTTTTAATAAGAGTGATGGAAAATTTTATTTTTTAAGTTATTAACTTTTTAGCACACATAGATCCACCATTTGTATAATGACATGTGATGTACCACTCCGTATACCGATCACATTGAAAAATCCCTCCTAAGCAAAAGCACTTAACTTTCGAATTCATAATTTCAAAGGACATGGCCTGCTTTATGAAAAATGTATACTTAGTCACAATACAGTCCCGTTCCCCTAGACCCTATATTGTGTGATACCAAATTGACACACCGATTTGAAATCTGTGCTTGGACATCGAATCGAGGTACGACACTTGGAAGGTGACAAGTCATAAAGTGATGGTGATGTGGAAAGTGCTAACTAATTTAAACCAAAAGTAACTAATACTAGAGTGTGCATGTGAAGGGAATTCAACCTTTATGACACAAGTGGTGCCAGAGTATGAGTAAATTGCAGTAAAAGATAAACTAAGAACATTTATACTAAAAAAAGGAATCCTCCTACGTGTCAGCTTTTGCCAGCAATCCTTGTCGTCACCAAACATCTGGCACTAAAATCCAAAGGGCAAAAGATAAGGATGAGTGAGTTTGAAAATAAAGTTTCGTAAAACTTTTGAAAAAACGTGTAAGTCCTCACTGTAAAACAAGATCTCTCACTAGAAAACAAGTATATAACTTTCCTACCATGAATATGAGATACCATGTTTATCGTAGAAAAAACAAAAAAACTATTCTTATCATATTTTTCATATCACATTTGTACTACTTCTCTAATCGAGATAAGACCTATATGTGCTGTGGACTCTACCTCCATTACAAAAGTAGTACAAATATAATAAGTATAACATTACTCTCGAAAAAAAACCAAAATTTAAAAACCAAGGTAGGTTTTAAGGCCAAGTGTTCAAAACCACGCGATTGAACAACAGTTGTAAATTATTATGATCCTAGTTTGCCGGCATAAAAAAAACCTCAAGTACCTCCAGTAAAGTGCCAAATATATTTATAGTGGTACACAGATTTGTAGCGTCGAATAATGGACCAACAATTTGAGTAGGGTCGCATGAATGACCAAACGTATGGTCTAGCATCAGGCTAATAGCAAAGTGATGGATTGCGGCGGTTAAAAACTTCCTCTTCAACGAACTGTTTCATGGTTAAAACTCTCACCTCCTCTTGAGGTAATTCACTGAAAAACAGCCAAAGAGTACTCAACTCTAAGCTCAGCTGTTAAAAAACATTTCATCCAGTAAACCACATCATTTAAGGTAATTCCTTAAGAAATATTAAGCGTGTAACTACCTTACACAAGTTTTTCTCATACAACAGAGGTCAAGAACTGCGATTCACACGCTCAAACTAGGTCGAACGCGCCTACACAAGTTTTTCTCATAAAAACGGAGGCCAAGAACACAAGTTCTTCTCATAAAAAACAGAGGCCAAGAACTGCGGTTTAGGCGCTCAAACTAGTGCTCCTATGTTGTACAGTAGGACTTTCCGAATCCTCCTAAATAAGAGAATGACTTGTGGGAAATGGAGTCAACCCGGTCATGGTATCCCGTTCCAATGAAACAATAACATAAGTCAAATTTTTTAACACATGATGTTCCAAAAAATAATAACACGAGTCAAGTTTTCTAACACGTAAAATTGTATTATTAAATCTGAACACCAATAAAACAATAACATGAGTCAGATTTTCTAACACATAAGATTATATTATTAAATCTGAACACTAACTAAACAATAAAATGAGTCAGGTTTTCTAACATATAAAATTGTATTATTGAATCTGAACGTCATCTGATCGGCGGAAATGTAATAAAATAAGTAACAAAGGAAAGACGCAAAACACACGGAATCTTCCATGAAAATCAGCTATTTATCATTGTACAATGAGAGGGTTTAGTTGTTTATGACGTTCACAAGTAACCCTAAGCAATATGTAATCGTATTTGGCAACAAAAGAGACTAAGCAATCAAGAACTTATTCTCATCTATCAGAAACCCTGAAAACGGTGAGAAGCGCGAGGAAGAGGTTGATGATATCCAAATACAAAGCGACTGCTGCCCAAATGTACTCGTCGTAAGAGTATCGCTTGATCAAGTTGTCCGTGTCGTACACAATGTACCCGCAAAATATGAGCGACGCCAAGCAACCATATATCATCACGGAGATCCTACCCAACGGGAACAAAATCTGCAACCAAGTAAGAACAAACAAACCCGAAAGTTCAAAACCCGAAAAAAAGACTTCAAATTCACAGTAGGTAACGACTCCATTGGATCGAGTAAACACAAGACATACCTGAATCAGAGCAAATACGAAGAGAACCAAAATAGCTCCAGCCAAGAAGGGACCAAGAAAGTTGAAGTCATGGCCTCTCTTTGCAGCCCAGAATGTGTACAAGGTCAAACCGATTACGACCACTGCCGTTAGAATAACAGACTCCAAAATCACCTTCCCTGTTTTAAATTCAACAAGTCACATAATTTCACAATATTATCTAATTGGCCATCAAAGTAGAGGGCTAGAGACCACTCAACAAATCCCGCACCTAAAATCGCATGCCGGAAAGCAATAATGTCTATACATCCTGCATCCTATTATAGGATTTGATCCCCACACCTTACAATTTAAGGATTCAAGGCACTAACACTATCATTGTACTTGTATAACTTTCATAAAAAATCTTCATTAAATAAGATTGCAATAACCAAAAATACCCTCAAATTTTTGTAAAATTATTTTAATACATTGTTTGTCAAATTAAGAGTATTTTTTTTTCATTTCGGTCCTTATTTAAGAAGTTTTTCATGAAATGATAAAAATTTTTTTTTAACAAAACACTTTCGGTACGGTTACTTTTAACGAAAATAACATTTTTATTTTAAAAAATCACTCCTGGTAATGTTCACTGAACACATTTTTGTTTTTTTTATTAAAACTCAAAGTTTTCAAACTATTTCATTAGTTTTTCTAAAAAAATTGATAATAAAGAAACTCGAAAATAACTCTTATCGATTTTAAATTTCAGAAATCAAAATAAGGTATTATGCTATTCTGAGGACTAATTTGACTAAAATTCCATCAAAAAGTTCAGAACCCCTAAATCAAATTACCAAGAAAAAATAGAGGAAAGATTATGAACACTTGCCGCTAGTAAATGCACAAGTCAAACCGACCACACATGCCAGTGAGAGGGTAAAAATTCCAAGTAAAAGATAATTCACCGGATGCTTCTGGTGGTAGTAGTACAGCGGGCACAGCACTGCAACCAACCAACAACAAATCAACACCATAAATTTCACGGCAAACTCCCAAAAACCATCAAATTTTCAAAGAAATTCAAAGCGTACCGATGAAAGGCGTGATGATGAGAACAATGTAGAGAGCAAGGCCGGCGCCGGTGCTGACAAAGAAGTGAGCCACCGGCCGGACCGAAACGACAACGGCGCCGATGGCGATGGTGGCGAGTAATTGCATGGCAACGATCGCGTAGATTTTGCGGATGAAGGACCACCGGAGCTCGGGGCTCTCGAGCATCGTAGGGTAGAGCGGCCTTGCTTGGGCCTCCGGATCACTCTTCCGATACGCCTGATTCCACATCATATTCATCTTCTCCGGTTTGCACAGATTAAGATCGTTATCGAGTGTTTGGTTGCCGGGATTCTTTGCGGGAAAGTGAGGGGCGTTGTGGGGGTTTAATAAGTAGAGCAGAACCGCACCTTCGCGTGCAGTTGAGAGACTTCGCGACTGGTCGCGTGTACACGTACGTGGGATTGGCGGTTGCGTTTGGGATTGACACGTGGTGCCCCGGAGGTTCTGGATTTGTCTCGGGTGGCCCGGGTGGGCCTTTGTTGTAAAGGAATGTCGGTTAGTGGTGACGGTGCTGTGGAGTGTGGAGGTTTCGGAGGGAAATTTCATCGTTTTGGGGATTAATGGGAGAATCTATGTGGAGAAATCTAGGTCAGCATATACTTTGGCAATGCCTCAACCGTCGCTTATTTTATCAAGAAATATGCTGCCAAGTTTAACGTTACGTTATAAAATATTATTTCAAAAATAATATGATTTTATATCATTATACACTTTAACGTTAATTCTATGATTACTTTATATAAACATAATTGTGTGTCAATCACACCGGATTCATTCCAAGTGTGTCAAAGCACTAATATAGAAATCAACAAGAGCCTTGAATTTGAGAAATTTTTCATCGTGACATGAATTGGTACACTATGTGTTTTAATAGAAATTATGGGAAATTTTATTTTTTAAGTTATTAACATTTTAGCACATATATCCTATTATTTGTATAATAATACGTGGTGTACCACTTTGTGTACCGGTTACACTGAAAAATCTTTTCTTGAATTCGTAGTGCTCTCGCACCATGCACACAATGAGCGCCACGTCACTTGTTGAGGGACGAACCGTCTCCTAAAACACCTTTGAGCCAAAACGCTCCGTTCCGCAAAGAGAAAACAAGCCGTTGGGTCGTCTTCTTCCTTGGCCACGTCGCGTCATTTCGCGAGGTCGCCGCTGAAGCGCGCGCTAAGCTTGCAGAGTTTGCCAAGCACTCCCTGAATCACTTTCTAGAAACCTCCTCCCAAGTATCTCAAAAAAATGGCATTTCTCCTGCAATTGCGCGACTGCTACGCGCCGGATTATCCAACAACTAGTAAGTTTTTCTTCGTTAATTTTCTCTGTTTTTACTTTGAATCGTTGGTTGTTTGTACTTTGGGATTTGAATTAGCATATAATCATCGCGATTATTTTTAATTACTCTGAATCTTGAGACGGAAGCTGTTGCTTAATTGGTTTTGTTGTTGGATTAGGCCGTTGCGAATAATTGTGGTTGTAGAGGCGATTTGGAATTGCGATGGGGGTCGTAGAGGCGATGCAGCATTCGAAATCATCGAGGCGAATTGCTCAACTTAATGGTAGTCACTCTGAGGGAAGATTGGCACGATCCATGGAAAATGGAGAGTGCTCTTACCGTGTTCCCAAGTTGAAGAGGCGCACAGTCTCTGCGGTTCGTGATTTTCCCCCGGCGTGCGTACGGTTTGGTCTGTTAAGGGTTGATGAGGAGCTGCTTCTAGGGGAAGTTTTGAGTGTGTAGCAACCTTAGAGCATGAAATATCTGATTTGCCAAACAATTCGAGGCCGGTTGAAGAGACAGAGTTTGTGGGTACTGCCAAGCTTTTGATGAGCGGGGGTAACAAAGATGATGAACAAGGGATTGAAACCCAAATGCTATCCACTGGTTCGGTGAAGATGTTCAAGATAAAGAGTTTCACAAGAGTGAAAGTGGAGGGGATATTTCTGTAGTAATTGGGGACAAGGTTCAACCAAAATGCAAGGGACATAAAAGTTGAGTTTAATTGCTATAATAAATCACATAGAAAATCAAGAAATAATTCATGCAATTATATATCACAATAATGCATGTTCATGAATAATCAATGTTAAATAAACATGATTAACAACAACAACAACAACAAAGCATTTTCCCATTAAGTGGGGTCGGCTATATGAATCCTAGAACGCCATTGCGCTCAATTCTGTGTCATGTCCTCCGTTAGATCCAAGTACTCTAAGTGAACATGATTAATGAATTAGAAAAATTGAGATGGTGCTAGTACATGATTAATGAATTAGAAAAATTGAGATGGTGCTAGTACATATCAACCCCCAAATTTCAGTACTTGAGCACATGCATTTGATGACTGAGCTGTTTATTCGAAAGTAACAATCTAGGATCCGAAATAACCCTCGAAGAAAGCCTGAAAATAATCACTGACATTAACCACTGATAGGCCTTATACCCCCTCTTTATGTGCTAATATGTGCAGCTAATGTCAGTGACTATTATCAAGACGACCTTGAGCTTGAACTTATGCTCTAATGAACTCCACAGGTTCAAGCTTTGCAGGAGAACTATCAGGATCACCAACAATGGCAACCAAATCCCTATCATCACCATTCAAATAAGCATTCAGAAACGCCACAACAATCCCACCCACAGTCTTCCTCATTAGCTCCCTCGGTCCTGTCCCGTTTTTACACATGCACCCCGACACTGCCCCAACCATGCCCTGTGGATCGTCGTCCAACATGTCCATGTGACCATAGTCCTTCACAACAAAATGTGCACATGGAGGCTTGCACTCATAGAAGAAATCCTTGTGGTTCACGCCATCTGGGGCACAAGGTTTTGACATGCAAGCATTTTTACCTTCCGGTCCCAGGCCAGCGCCGATCACTATGACTGGAATCGAGAGGTCGAAAGATTGAGGGGAATAGGTGAGGATACGAGGACGTGTTCTGCAGTATCGATTTGCACCGGCCACAGGATCAATGCCTATTAGGAGTGAAATTTTGAGGGACAGGGAAGTTTTGGCACGCCCAAGTGCTATTGCAAATGCTGTTTTCCCACCTCTGCTGTGGCCTGCAAGAGCAAATTTGGTGAAGTCTGCTACAACATTTTCTGGCAGCAGAGGTTGGAGGCCTTTTGGCAACCAGTTTATGACTTTTGCTCCCGACTCTACTTCTTCAGGTCCACATGGAGGCACAACCCCACATAACTGATCAAAAAGAAAAAAACAAACTCACAATTAATTCTGTTGTCAGAAAATTTATTAAATTGGCCAAAATATATGTTTTTTTTCAAATATCAATTTCTGAAATGATCAATTTTTCAGTATTGTCAATATTTGATTGCTATGAGGTCGACATTGTATGACAATTATTTGATTTTAATCAATTTATCAATTCAGATTTGATTGATGATAATTTTAGTCAATTTCTAAATTAAAAGTTTGTTTGAAAGTTCATTTAAAATGGTGAAAATATTTTTTGGATAATGAAAAGGAGTTTAAATCAATGTATTAAAAGCGGGAGGTGTGGGTAAGGCGTCTGAAGGATAGCCCAGCCTAGACGTGAGGTGAAGCCTCACAAGACCTAAAATTTTTAATATATACACTGAGTGTACACATATATTATATTAAAAAAAAGATTATTAATCAATAATCATATTGAACACACACATATATTATAAATATATATATGCACATATATACATATATTATATTATATATATATATAACTAATAGAGGATGAAAAGCACAATAAGCACACATATAACAATGCATGTAGACAGCACACACATCCATTATATAAAAAAAATAAAAATCAGAAAAAGACAGAGAGACGATAGCGCAAGGAAGATGTATGAAGCAGTTAAAACCCTACCCAAAATTTGGGTTTGGAAGTAAAAAAAAAAATCCCTAAGGCTCGCCTAGGCGGCTCCGGCGATACCTTCCGCCCACTTCTGCAAAACAGAGGCGTTAGCCTTCGCGCCTAGCCTCAAGGACGCCCTTGGCACACCCCGAGGCTAGTTTTTTTAAAACATTGGTTTAAATTAAAGAACTTGAAAGTTCTAGGTGCTTTCTAAGGAAGCAATTTCAAGTGTTTTTTAAGAAAACAAAAGTTCTTACGGGCATATATGGTTTCTGGAGAAGCATTTTCAAACACTCATAACCCATTTGACAGAGTAGATTGGACCAAAAATTTCATGGACGACAATTGTTGGATTAACACAAAATAAATTAATTCTGAAATTGTATTGGACGTTAATATAAAATGGTAAGACAATATTACCTGAGGTGCTACAGCTATGAATCCATGTGAAGCTATGTGCTGGAGTAACTCCTTGTAGAAGTAGTTGCGGAGGTAGAAGCCGTGATGAAGCAAGATTAGAGGGTAAGTGCCTGCTACCGTCGGTGTAACAATGAACAAGGGCTTTGGAGGTGCTGAAGAATCAAAGCAGGAAGACAGTGGTGTCTCCTCCGTGATGCATTTGAAGGGGCAATTTCCTAGATTAAAAACAGATGTAGTCAGTGCAGGCTGAGCAGAAGACATATTTTTTTCCACAAGTGCCATGGGGCTCAATGCAAGTGAGAACTATGTAATGTGACCTTCGGTTCTTTTTAATGGTGAATCCAAAGTTTGGCCGACTGCCAACTTTAGAGGATCAGTTTAGACCTGGCTGGAAAAAATTGGAAGAAAAGATAAGTTTGATTAAATGAAAACAAAAGGACTTGTGAAGCACATGGAAAATGCAGGATTATAGGACCACTCCTGTCGGCTTGAGTGAAAGGGTCCAAATCCAAGTGGGGCTAATTAAGCCAAGGATTATAGTACCACTCCTGTCGCCTCGTGCGAGAGGCTGTGAGTATATTGAGTATTGACAACTGTATAAAGACATTATGTTTTCCAAAAAAGAAAATAAAATGACATTATTCTCCTTTGCCTCCAATATGCTTTGAAATTTCATCGTTTTGGGGATTAATGGGAGAATCTATGTGGAGAAATCTAAGTCAGCATATACATTGGCAATGCCTCAACTGTCGCTTATTTTATCAAGAAAAATGCTGTTAAGTTTAACATTAATTTTTAAACCAACGTTATAAAATATTATGTAAAAAATAATATGATTCTTTGTTGCTATACAGTTTAACGTTAATTCTATGATTACTTTATATAACCGTAACTGTGTGTCAATCACACCAGATTCATTCCAAGTGCGTCAACACACTAATATAGAAATCAACAAGAGCCTTGAATTCGACAAATTTTTAATCGAGATAGGAACACAAGTGGTAGACCACGTATTTTAATAGAAGTGGTTTGAAATTTTATTTTTTAAGTTGTTAACTTTTTAACACACATATCTCACAATTTGTATAATGACACGTGATATACCATCTCATGTACCGGTCACATTGAAAAATCTTTTCTTGAATTCGTAGTGCTCTCACACCATGCATGCAATGAGCGCCACGTCACTTGTAGAGGGACGAACAGTCTCCTAAAACACCTTTGAGCCAAAATGCTCCGTTCCGCGAAGAGAAAACAAGCCGTTGGGTCGTCTTCTTCCTTGGCCACATCGCGTCATTTCGCGAGGTCGCCGCTGAAGCGCGCGCTAAGCTTGCAGAGTTTGCCAAACACTCCCTAAATCACCTTCCAGAAACCTCCTCCCAAGTATCTCAAAAAAATGGCGTTTCTCCTGCAATCGCCCGACTGTTACGCGCCGGATTATCCATCAACTAGTAAGTTTTTCTTCGTTAATTTTCTCTGTTTCTACTTTGAATCGTTGGTTGTTTGTACTTTGGAATTTGAATTAGTATATAATCATCGCGATTATTTTTAATTACTCTGAATCTTGAGACTGAAGTTGTTGCTTAATTGGTTTTGTTGTTGGATTAGGCCGTTGCGAATAATTGTGGTTGTAGAGGCGATTTGGAATTGCGATGGGGGTCGTAGAGGCGATGCAGCATTCGAAATCATCGAGGCGAATTGCTCAACTTAATGGTAGTCACTCTGAGGGAAGATAGGCACAATCCATGGAAAATGGAGAGTGCTCTTACGGTGTTCCCAAGTTAAAGAGGCGCACAGTCTCTGCGGTTCGTGATTTTCCCCCGGCGTGCGGACGGTTTGGTCAGTTAAGGGTTGATGAGGGGCTGCTTCTAGGGGAAGTTTTGAGTGTGTAGCAACAAAAAGCTTGGTTAGTAGGGGTGAAAATGGCGATGGACACGGGGTTGACAAGCTCGGGCTCGCAAATGGTCATGTGGATGGGCTGACTTGATGAACGGTAATGATGTGGGTACTGTGGAGAGAATTGAATCAGTAGCAATCTGAAGAGCATGAAATATCTGATTTGCCAAACAATCTACATGGGTTAAAAAGTTCGAGGCCGGTTGAAGAGACAGAGTTTGTGGGTACTGCCGAATTTGAAACCCAAATGGTATCGACTGGTTCGGTAAATGAAACTGCATTGATTAACGGCGAGGCTTTTGGTACTGTGGAGAGAGTTGATTTAAATGCATTGCTGCATGAAATATCTGATTCGTTGAAGAACCCACATCAGCACCAAATGAAGAGATGGCTGCTGTTGTGCCTGATTCACCACCCAATGGATCCATCTCCATTTCTAATGGAAATGGTCTGGAGAAGACTGCAGTTAAAAAAATATCCCCCTCGAAGAATAGTATCAACCGTTCGGGGCTTCCCTTCTCTTTTGTGGAAGAAATCCAGCCCTGGAGACTAGGAATTTTGGTCAAGAGAGGTCCCCTGTGGATGGCGAACCATCATCATCGAACACAGCAAAGATTAATGTGAAGCAAACAGGCGAGGATGTTCAAGATAAAGAGTTTCACAAGAGTGAAAATGGAGGGGATATTTCTATAGTAAATTAGTAACTGGGGACAAGGTTCAACCAAAATGCAAGGGACATCCTTTACAAGAAATGGAACGGCACGATGATGTAAAATTCTGAGATGATCATGGTTCAACCAAAACACATTCACCATTTAGATCTAACAAGTTTTACTATTTCAGTACATATATACTTTGTGAGGAACTTATGTTACAAGAAACTGTTAGCAGTTGGATGACCCTAAGTATTAAAATTTAACTCACTTTTTTGAGCATCTCCAACTGATCTGCTACACCGTGGACTGTTTTGACAACAAGAAGAGGTGCTATATTTTTTTGGTTGAAGCGAGATGTCAAAGTTTGGTGGGTTGGCGTCGCCTAAACTACCAAATTTGATGCTGTCATATGGAGGCATCATTTTGTTTTCTTCCTTCACTGTATTCACTGTGTCAGTATTAAGTGCTAGCTACTGCTTTTAGCAATAATAAAACAGTATTTTTATTCGGCATCTCGGTTGGAGCAAGATATTTACAAAATGTCAATTTACCGCATCATCATCTAACATTTTATCTTATGACATTTAAATACATATCTAAACCGAAATTCATAATAAACTTGAGATGGTTCTAGTACATATAAACCCCCAAATTTCAGTACTTGGGCACACACATTTGATGGCCGAGCTGTTTATTCGAAAATAACACTCTAGGATCTGAATAACCCTCGAAGAAAGCCTGAAAATAATCACCGAAATTAGCCACTGATAGGCTTTATAACCCCCTCTTTATGTGCTAATATGTGCAGCTAATGTCGGTGACTATTATCAAGACGACCTTGAGCTTGAACTTATGCTCTAATGAACTCCACAGGTTCAAGCTTTGCAGGAGAACTATCAGGATCGCCAACAATGGCAACCAAATCCTTATCATCACCATTCAAATAAGCATTCAGAAACGCCACAACAATCCCACCCACAGTCTTCCTCATTAGCTCCCTCGGTCCTGTCCCGTTTTTACACATGCACCCCGACACTGCCCCAACCATGCCCTGTGGATCGTCGTCCAACATGTCCATGTGACCATAGTCCTTCACAACAAAATGTGCACATGGAGGCTTGCACTCATAGAAGAACTCCTTGTGGTTCGCGCCATATTGGGCACAAGGTGGCATGCAAGGATTTTTACTTTCCGGTCCCAGGCCAGTGCCGATCACTGTGACTGGAATCGAGAGGTCGAAAGATTGAGGGGAATAGGTGAGGATATTACGAGTTGCACCGGCCACAGGATCAATGCCTATTAGGACTGAAATTTTGAGGGACAGGGAAGTTTTGGCACGCCCAAGTGCTATTGCAAATGCTGTATTCCCACCTCTGCTGTGGCCTGAAAGAGCAAATTTGGTGAAGTCTGCTACAACATTTTCTGGCAGCAGGGGTTGGAGGCCTTTTGGCAACCAGTTTATGACTTTTGCTCCCCACTCTACTTCTTCAGATCCAGGTGGAAGAAAAACCCCACATAACAGTAACTAATCAAAATGAAAAACCAAACTCACACAATTAATTCTGTTGTCAGACAATGTATTAAATTGGGCTTTTTTTTTGTTTTTTTTTTCAAGGGGTGTGCTATCCACACACCTCTTTTTACTTCTCACACACCCTTTGTTAATTTCTGTCCGTTGATCTTCTTCAATTCATCCGATCCGACGGCCGAAAATAAAAAATGTGTGAGAGAAGTAAAAAGGGGTGTGTGGATATCACACCCCTTTTTTCAAATATCAATTTCTGAAATGATCAATTTTTCAGTATGGTCAATATTTGATTGCTATGGGGTCGACATTGTAAGACAATGATTTGATTTTAATCAATTTAGGGGGTGCATTCAATTGAAAATTTGAGATTTTAATGGATTTAAAAATTTATGGAGTTTAATGGAGTTTAATTGATTTGTAGAGATTTCATATAAGGAGGTGTATTCAATTAGGAATTTGAGAGATTTTAATGGATTTATAAATCCATAGATTTTATGTAAAATTTTAATTCAATTCCCTCGAAATCTCATGAGAAGATGTGAGATTAGTGGATACTTACACTACAAAATCTCTCCAATTCCTTTTAATTCCTCAATTTTTCCAAATTCTTTAAATTCTAATTCTAATTGAATACACCTGAAATATTATAAACTTCTTTAAAATTCTTATTCAATACACTCAAATTTCTAAAAATTTTAATAAACTATCTTAAAATTCTGATTGAATACACATTGAATTTCATAGAATCACTTAAAATCCTGATTGAATTCTTAGATTCATTAAAAGAATTAAAATCCCTCAAAATCCCAATTGAATACACCCCCATGAAATTTTGATTTAATTCCCTCGAAATCCCATAGGGAAATTTCCTAGATTAAAAACAGATGTGGTCAGTGCAGGCTGAGCAGAAGACATTTTTTTCTTTCCACAAGTGCCATGGGGCACAATGCAAGTGAGTACTATGTAATGTGACCCTCGGTTCTTTCTAATAGTGAATCCAACGTTTGGTCGACAACCAACGTTTGGAAGAAAAGATAAGTTTGATTAAATGAAAAGAAAAGGACTTGAGTAACACATGGAAAGTGAAGGATTATAGTACCACTCCTGTCGGCTTCTGTGAAAGGGTCCAAATCCAAGTGGGGCTAATTAAGCCAAGGATTATAGTACCACTCCTGTCGCCTTGTGCGAGAGGCTGTGAGTATATTGACTACTGTATAAAGACATTATGTTTTCCAAAAAAGAAAAAGAAAAAGACATTATTCTCCTTTGCCTCCAATATGCTTTGAAATTAAAGGGTTATTCATTCTAATCCAACCCTCTTATACCAAACGAGACCTTTCATTACTTTCTGCAAGTATATTGACAACTGTATATATATATTTTTTCCCATATAAGCTTTTTACATTTGGTGATTAATCATGGTGGTGGTCAACTGCCAATTAGCGCCAGGCTTAGGCGGTGCTACGTTGAAATTTTTAACACACTGAATAGAAATAACCTAGATGGGGGCAAAAATACCAACAAAATTTAACTTATTGTATAAACAACTTAGATAAAAGGGTTTGCAGATGAAATATGATCTTGTTATACCATATATACAAGAGCGACGAAGAATTGTTAGATTTGAACAAACTTAACTTATATAAGACTGAAATCAAAGTGCAAAAGTATTTTAACGAGGTAAGCCCCTCCACTGGGGAAACAAATACAAAAGGCATTGACACAAACTCAATTTACTAGATTTGCACGCAAGAAGACTATAGAAGACTTACTTTCCGTCTCCTCTTGGACTCGTGATGAGTTAATATTATACTATATATTTTACTCTATTTTAAGTATATATTTATTGGTTATTTTGGTGAAGTTTTGATACTTTGATTTATATTCTAACGTAGGACATGCGATTTCCTTTTGAGCAAAAAGTGATCAAATAGATAAATTTTTGAGTGGTTCCAACGGGAGGATGTTCATGAGTCTCTCAAATTACTTGTGTTAAAGTTTCATATTTTTCTACCGAGCAAATAATTTATGACGATGAAATAAAAGTGCAGCGTGCATGTTTTGGGCTTATTTGGACATTTTGGTGACCAAGATGGTCTCTTTTGGCGATGGGCTCTTTTGGAAATATGTTCAGGACATCTAAGCTTTAAAAAGAGTCATTTTGAGTCTAATTTTGGAAATATGGTCTTTATTGATACATTTGATCCACATATTCGCAGTGACATGGGTAACATCTTTTGCTTTTCCCTTCTTTGTTGCCTGCAGGTGAAACTTTCTATTTCTTGTCAAGCAGCGGGCGACCACAGCCTATAGAAAACATTGTGTTCTGTTGTGCTTATGACACAAAGAACATTACAATCGGTAGGCTGGAAGACTTCAAGGTCGCAGGAATACTGGGTTTGGGAAATACACCTATCTTATCGATGGAGCATTCTTGTTCTGCCTGACACGCCCAAGAGACATTCAAACATATCTAAAATTTGACGCAGACATACCCTAACCACCTGAGGGAGTACGCGTCACGAAATTAGCTCTCCTTCCAGGCATATCATATTACCATGTGAATATGTTGGGCATAAGCGTGCACGGACAAAAGATTCTAATAGATCCAACCGCATTTGCTATACGAGATGGAGGCAAAACAGGAGGGTGTTTCTTGGACAATGGTAGTACACTTTCTTATCTTATCACACGATTCACACCTGCTTTCAAGGCACTAATTCAGTTTCTGGAGATGTATTTTGTGCGCTTTCCTTGCGTAGTTAAGACTAATGAGTCCTACCAATGCTAACTTCGATCTGTGCTACGAATGGAAACCGCCTCTAGGGTTCAAAGACTTGCCTACTTTGACATTTCACTTTGAAAATGCTCACCTTGATGTAAAACCTGGAGATGCATTCATAACGTTCCAGGTTGATCAGAATGTGGTTTTATGTTTGGGATTCTTGGAAGATAAGGTACCTTCGCTTATCGGGTCATTCCAGCAAATAAATTACAGATTCATACATGATCTTAAAGGGCGCTACTGAAATTTGCTCCTGAGGATTGTGCTAAGAATTCTTGAGCTCAAGCTTTGAGGATGCATGTCTCTCTTTTCTATTGTGTTCTTCATTTTTGTTGAAAATAAACCACAAATTAATTCTCTTGAATTGTTTTGCAACTACATATACATATACATCTTCAATTTGGATTTTATAGATTTATTCCTCAAAATTTGGGTTTCTACACATATACATCTTCAATTTGGATATAATATAGACGGAGCCACATGATTAATTTGTCACAAGTCTAAGAAGAATAAAGAGGGCCCAATATGAAACTTGGCTGCAAGAAAGAGAATTATAGTCCGAAGTCAACCGAGATTTGGTCTTCTTCCTAAACTTCCAAATTTGACTCCTAATTAAACTCAAATTTTGAGTGGGATCCAAATCTGAATTTCCAAATCTTTTAGTTATTCCTTGGTTCTCAATTTATACCTACCGTTAAGCCTCACAACAACTTCTTCAAGACCCTATTGCACGCACCAAAGGTAAGCCATTTTTAGAGTTCTAGATGCTTTTTCTAAGTTCATTCATTGAAACGTCGCTGAATTAGGTCTTAGAGGGTCTCTAGTTGGCATCACACCGGTGCCTCATTACTCATTGAAGTTTATTTCACAGGGTACTCAAGTGTTTTTCGAAACTCTATGAGTACTTTATATAAACATGATGGTGCGTCAATCACACCGTGTTCATTCCAAGTGTGTCAAGACTCAAAGTACTAACATAGAAATGAACTAAAAGCCTGTTAGAGTGATCCGTGGCTCTGAAGATGGAAAAAGTTAAGACATATGTGTATGATGGACTATATTTGGTAGAGAAATGTTGGCAGGGTATGGGCTCTCAAGGTAAGCTTGTTTTCAATTTTCAACTAGACAGAATCCAAGATCAACCAGAGCTGGCTTGGAAAGAAGTGAAGAAGTCTAAAAAATTTAAAGTTCGGGAAGATCTATGCGCTAATGATATTTCAGTAGGGAAAGAATCAATTCCTATCTGCGCTGTGAATACCATAGATGATGAGAAACCTCCACCATTTATATACATAACTAGCATGATATATCCATATTGGTGCCGCCCGATTCCTCCCGAGGGTTGTAGCTGTATTGCGAATGCTCAGAATCTGAGAAATGTTCTTGTGCGGTTGAGAACAACGGAGGTGAGATCCCATATAACTTCAATGGTGCTATTGTTGAAGCAAAGTCCCTTGTGTATGAATGTGGTCCTTGTAAGTGTCCTCCTTGTTACAATAGAGTTAGCCAACCTGGTATCAAATTTCAGCTTGAAATTTTCAAAACTGAATCGAGGGGCTGGGGAGTGAGATCCCTAAATTCCATTCCTTCAGGAAGTTTTGTATGTGAGTGTATAGGAGAGCTCCTGGAAGAGAAGGAAGCGGAAGAAAGAACTGGGAATGATCAGTATCTGTTTGATATTGGGAATAACTACAATGACAATTCTGTTTGGGATGGACTTTCAACCCTCATGCCCAATGCACAGTCAAATTCTTGTGGAGTTGTGGGGGATGGTGGATTCACCGTTATGCAGTACAGTGCGGCAACGTGGGAAGATTTATCAACTATATTTTGTTCCCCTAATCTTTATGCCCAAAATGTCCTCTATGATCACGATGACACTGAAATTCCTCACCACATGTTCTTTGCCGCTGAGAACATTCATCCTTTGCAAGAGTTGACTTATCATTACAATTATATGATAGACCGGCCGGGTTCGTGGTTATAATGGCAAGATAAAGAAAAAGAGTTGCTATTGTGGTTCTCCAGAGTGCACTGGCTGACTTTGTTGAGGCAGAAGTCTGAGGAGAATTATTTTTCGTATATGTTTTGAATGCAGTTGATAAGTTGAGTATAACCGTCAGGACTCTTTCTTGACAGCGGTGGGTTTTGAGGTGATGGTTACTACGCGTATATGTGTATATGTGTGTATGTGTATATGTCGATGCTTATTGTGAGCTTGAGCCTTTTAACTTAAATTTGTATAGTTTCACATATGTTATTTATTCCTTTGAATAGATGAATTTCTGCGTAGTTTATCATTCATATTAAAGCTTTAGATGAAGTTTGAAATGATGAACCATTTTTCTGTGGCAGTTCTCAACTGTTTGGTTTCGGATGCTTGGTTGTGAAGAGAACGTTTAGATGCAACAAAAGCATACAAGGAACTAAACTATCACTGTATAACAATTAATTGTTAAAACAAAAAAAAGACGTGAACTTATAAACAAAAAACTGTTCACACTTGTTGCTTGCCTAATTTTCAGTCATCGGATCGAATGAATTGAAGAAGATCAACAACAACAACAACAACAACAACAAAGCCTTTTCCCACTAAGTGGGGTCGGCTATATGAATCCTAGAACGCCATTGCACTCAGTTTTGTGTCATGTCCTCCGTTAGATCCAAGTACTTTAAGTCTTTTCTTAGGGTCTCTTCCCAAAGTTTTCCTAGGTCTTCATCTACCCCTTCGGCCCTGAACCTCTGTCCCGTAGTCACATCTTCAAACCGGAGCGTCAGTAGGCCTTATTTGCACATGTCCAAACCACCGTAACCGATTTTCTCTCATCTTTCCTTCAATTTCGGCTACTCCTACTTTACCTCGGATATCCTCATTCCCAATCTTATCCTTTCTCGTGTGCCCACACATCCCACGCATCCTCATCTCCGCTACACCCATTTTGTGTACGTGTTGATGCTTCACCGCCCAACATTCTGTGTCATACAACATCACTGGCCTTATTGTCGTCCTATAAAAATTTCCCTTGAGCTTTAGTGGCCTACGACGGTCACACAACACGCCGGATGCACTCTTACACTTCATCCATCCAGCTTGTATTCTATGGTTGAGATCTCCATCTAATTCTCCGTTCTCTTGCAAGATAGATCCTAGGTAGCGAAAACGGTCGCTTTTTGTGATCTTCGCTAGATTGCTCCGGTCATTAGTGGGGATAAGTATATAAATGGATAGAGATAGGAAAGCAAACACAAGATGTGCGTGGTTCACCCAGATTGGCTACATCCACGGAATAGAGGAGTTCTCATTAATTGTGAAGGGTTTACACAAGTACATAGGTTCAAGCTCTCCTTTAGTGAGTACAAGTGAATGATTTAGTACAAATGACATTAGGAAATATTGTGGGAGAATGATCTCGTAATCACGAAACTTCTAAGTACCGGAGTGTGGTATCGTCTTGACTTGCCTTATCTGTCTCATAGGTAGATGTGGCATCTTCTCTAGAAGTACTCTTCCTCCATCCATGGGTGGTATCTTTAACTGTGGAGATGCACAAGGTAATGTATCAATTTCACTTGAAGCTTACTTGTAGTTTTAGGCTTGGTCAAGCGCGATACAAACCATGTGGTAGGAGTCCCCCAAGTCGCCGAGCTAGGGGATCTGCTGAAAGAGGTGACAGACAAGGTAAGCAATCAGAGCTCCAAGCAATCAGTCCCAGATCAGAAATTTGATTTCGAGTTCCGGCTGATTGTTCACATTCTCTTTATCTTGCAGGCAGCATGAAGGATAAAAAGAAGAAAAATGAGAAGAGATGATATGGGATACTTTTGCTTTTGAAGAAGTAACTTTCCACAAACTTATTCTTGAACTAGGCTGGAGGGTTTTCTGGTTTCCTCCAGAGTATAAGGCTGATTGAAGAATTTGAGGGTCAAAACAAGTCCATCAAATCTAGAGTACGTTCGACCCTGCTGATATGGGATACTTTTGCTTTTGACAGAGTAGGGGATGTATCGGCACGTGTGTTATTACGCTTGTCTCCACATGCTTCTTTGTATCCTTCTCACTTGCCCTATCTGTTCCTCAGGCAAATGCGGTATCTTCCCTGGAAGCATAAGATGTTGAAGATGAGTACTCAAGAGCAATGCCAGGTAAGTAATCAGGTAAGGGGTTCCAGGCAGTCAGTTTCTGACTGGAAGCTTGATTCCAAGTGCTGACTGATTGCTCTCTTACTCCTTGTCTTGCAGGTAAGAATAAGGCCAAAGAAAAAGACAGGGAAAAAGCATGATATGGGATACTCTTGCTTTTAACCCTGATGCTATGGGATATTCTTGCTCTAGTATAGCTTGTTTGCAGAGGTATTATCGGGGGAGGGGAAAGAAAGTTGAATATTTCGAAAAGCTTCGTTGGGAGTGCCCTCTCAGATATGAGGAAGGGTTGAGCATTTTTGCAGGTCTTCCTGTCCGTTGAGGATGGAGGTCGACATATATAGGAGTCTCCCTAACAACAAGTAGTAATGTTATTCCTTTACCCTGCTTGGTCATAGCACGGTAGTGGGAGCTGCCAGCTTCACATGTTTTAACTCTGTCAGAGCACTTTGAAAAAGTGGTCTGTGGTATCTGGAAAGCTGATGTTGCGTGTGAAGATTACAGACAAGCTTTATCCAAGGAGATCCGGCTCTTGAAGTTGGGAAAGTGGTGCCTCTTCGGTTTTCGAACAAGCAATCCTGTCGGGGATCTGGCTCTTGAGATTCGGAGAACGATGCCTCTTCGATTTTTGAGAAAGCAATCCTGTTGGGGGTCTGGCTCTCGAGATTCGGAGAGCGGTGTCTCGATTTTTGAGAAAGTAATCATGTTGGGATCTGGCTCTCGAGATTCGGAAGACGGTGCCTCTTCGATTTTGGAGCAAGCAATCTTGTTGGGAGTGTTTTCTCGAATGTGAGTAAAGGTTGGGCATGTTTGCTAGTCCACCTTGCCACGAAGCACAGAGGTTGACACACAGGGACTTTCCAATTATCCAGCAGTGGTACTGTTCCTTTACCCTTGTGGGTAATAATATGGTAGCTAGACCTTCAAAATTTATGTGTCTAAACTTTGTTAGTGCTGTTTCTTTGCTATTCTTTTACCCTTCTTGGTCAGAGCGATGTAGTGGGAGCTGCAAGCTTCATGTGTCTCAACTTTGTAAAAGAACTTTGGCAAAGTTATCTGTGGTACCCATGAGCTAATGTTGCGTGTGGGAAGTGGGTGATTAAACAGTAAGATTCATGTGCTTTCTACTTCACCAGAAATCTTCGACAGAATGCCCATAATTTCCGCAAAGCTGAGTGTGCGTGTGACAAGTGCTGACAAGGCTGGAAAAGTAGGTGCCTCTTCGATTTCTGAGATCGACCCTCGTGGTCTCTGAGCAGCCCAGCTTTTGAGAAAGCAAACGCCTCTTCGATTTCTGAGATCAACCTTCGTGGTCTTTGAGCAGCCCAGCTTTTGAGAAAGCAAACGCCTCTTCGATTTCTGAGATCGACCCTCGTGGTATCTGAGCAGCCCAGCTTTTGAGAAAGCAAACGCCTCTTCGATTTCTGAAGCTCCGTCGAGTGCAGATTTTTATAGAGGCTGGCATTCAGTTCCAAAGCACACTTGAATCTCCACCAGTAGAGGCTCCATTCTTGCACTTCTAAGATCTTGATTTGTCCGACCTCTTCTCTCTTCAACACCTTTGAAAATGTCTAGCCCCTCCGACCGTCGTTTTGACTTGAACCTTGTTGAAGAGGCAGCCACGCCTTCTCCAGACAACATATGGCGCCCATCCTTCGTCTCCCCTACTGGTCCTCTTATCGTTGGGGATTCCGTGATGAAGAATGATATGACCACTGCGGTGGTGGCCAGGAACCTTCTCACTCCCAAAGATAACAGACTACTTTCCAAACGGTCTGATGAGTTGGCTGTTAAGGATTCTCTGGCTCTCAATGTTCAATGTGCAGGTTCTGTGTCTAATATGGCCCAACGCCTATTTGCTCGAACCCGCCAAGTTGAATCATTGGCGGCTGAAGTGATGAGTCTCAAACAGGAGATTAGAGGGCTCAAGCATGAGAATAAACAGTTGCACCGGTTCGCACATGACTATGCTACAAACATGAAGAGGAAGCTTGACCAGATGAAGGAATCTGATGGTCAGGTTTTACTTGATCATCAGAGATTTGTGGGTTTGTTCCAAAGGCATTTATTGCCTTCGTCTTCTGGGGCTGTACCGCGTAATGAAGCTCCAAATGATCAACCTCTGATGCCTCTTCCTTCTAGGGTTCTGTCCAGTACTGAGGCTCCGAATGATCCCCCTCCGGTGCCTTCTCTTTCTGGGGCTCTACCGACTGCTGAGACTTCTCCTAAGCAACCTTTGTGAAGGCTCCCTCTTGTTTGTTTCTTTTGACTCATGTATATGTACATATTTGTAACTTATCGGGGATATCAATAAATAAGCTTTCCTTCATTTCAACGTATTGTGTTAAATACACCAAAGCCTTCTTCGCTAAGTTCTTTGAATTTTCTTTTGTTAAAGCTTGTATGTTGAAGCTTTGTGAGTGGAGCATGTAGGTTTATGTAGTGTTCCCTTAATTTCCCGAGTGAGGAAAACTTCTCGATTGGAGACTTGGAAAATCCAAGTCACTGAGTGGGATCGGCTATATGAATCTTAGAACGCCATTGTGCTCGGTCCTGTGTCATGTCCTCCGTTAGATCCAAGTACTCTAAGTCTTTTCTTAGAGTCTCTTCCAAAGTTTTCCTAGGTCTTCCTCTACCCCTTCGGCCCTGAACCTCTGTCCCATAGTCGCATCTTCTAATCGGAGCGTCAGTAGGCCTTCTTTGCACATGTCCAAACCACCGTAACCGATTTTCTCTCATCTTTCCTTTAATTTCGGCTACTCCTACTTTACCCCGGATATCCTCATTCCTAATCTTATCCTTTCTCGTGTGCCCACACATCCAACGAAGCATCCTCATCTCCACTACACACAATTTTGTGTACGTGTTGATGCTTCACCGCCCAACATTTTGTGCCATACAGCATCGCCGGCCTTATTGCCGTCCTATAAAATTTTCCCTTGAGCTTCAGTGGCATACAGCGGTCACACAACACGCTGGATGCACTCTTCCACTTCATCCATCCAGCTTGTATTCTATGGTTGAGATCTCCATCTAATTCTCCGTTCTTTTGCAAGATAGATCCTAGGTAACGAAAACGGTCGCTCTTTGGTATTTCTTGATCTCCGATCCTCACCCCTAACTCGTTTTGGCCTCCATTTGCACTGAACTTGCACTCTATATATTTTGTCTTTGATCGGCTTAGGCGAAGACCTTTAGATTCCAACACTTCTCTCCAAAGGTTAAGCTTTGCATTTACCCCTTCCTGAGTTTCATCTATCAACACTATATCGTCTGCGAAAAGCATACACCAAGGAATATCATCTTGAATATGTCCTGTTAACTCATCCATTACCAACGCAAAAAGGTAAGGACTTAAGGATGAGCCTTGATGTAATCCTACAGTTATGGGAAAGCTTTCGGTTTGTCCTTCATGAGTTCTTACGACAGTCTTTGCTCCTTCATACATATCCTTTATAGCTTGGATATATGCTACTCGTACTCCTTTCTTCTCTAAAATCCTCTAAAGAATGTCTCTTGGGACCCTATCATACGTTTTTTTTCCAAATCTATAAAGACCATGTGTAAATCCTTTTTCCCATCTCTATATCTTTCCATCAATCTTCGTAAGAGATAGATTGCCTCCATGGTTGAGTGCCCTGGCATGAACCCGAATTGGTTGTCCGAAACCCGTGTCTCTTGCCTCAATCTATGCTCAATGACTCTCTCCCAGAGCTTCATTGTATGACTCATTAGCTTAATACCCCTATAGTTCATGCAATTTTGTACGTCGCCCTTATTCTTGTAGATAGGCACCAAAGTGCTCGTTCGCCGCTCATTTGGCATCTTCTTAGTTTTCAAAATCCTATTGAAAATGTCAGTAAGCCATGTTATACCTGTCTCTCCCAAAACTTTCCACACTTCGATTGGTATATCGTCTGGGCCTACTATTTTTCTATGCTTCATCTTCTTCAAAGCTACAACCACTTCTTCCTTCCGGATTCGATGATAAAAAGAGTAGTTTCTACACTCTTCTGAGTTACTTAACTCCCCTAAAGAAGCACTCATTTCATGTTCTTCATTGAAAAGATTATGAAAATAACCTCTCCATCCGTCTTTAACCGCGTTCTCTGTAGCAAGAACCTTTCCATCCTCATCCTTGATGCACCTCACTTGGTTTAGGTCCCTTGTCTTCTTTTCCCTTGCTCTAGCTAGTTTATAGATATCCAACTCTCATTCTTTGGTATCTAGTCGCTTATACATATCGTTATAAGCCGCTAACTTAGCTTCTCTCACAGCTTTCTTCGCCTCTTGCTTCGCTTTTCTATACCTTTCACCATTTTCATCGGTCCTATCCTTGTATAAGGCTTTACAACATTCCTTCTTAGCCTTCACCTTTGTTTGTACCTCCTCATTCCACCACCAAGATTCCTTTTGGTGTGGGGCAAAGCCCTTGGACTCTCCTAATACCTTTTTTGCTACTTTTCGGATACAACTAGCCATGGAATCCCACATTTGGCTAGCTTCCCTCTCTCTATCCCACACACACTGGGTGATTACTTTCTCTTTGAAAATGACTTGTTTTTCTTCTTTTAGATTCCACCATCTAGTCCTTGGGCACTTCCAAGTCTTGTTCTTTTTTCTCACTCTTTTGATATGTACATCCATCACCAACAAGCGATGTTGATTAGCCACGCTCTCTCCTGGTATAACTTTGCAATCCTTACAAGTTATACGATCCCATTTCCTCATTAGAAGAAAATCTATTTGTGTTTTTGACGACCCACTCTTGTAGGTGATCACATGTTCTTCTCTCTTCTTAAAGAAGGTGTTGGCTAAGAAGAGATCATATGCCATTGCAAAATCCAAGATAGCTTCCCCATCCTCGTTTCTCTCCCTAAAACCATGGCCACCATGAAAACCTCCATAGTTGCCTGTCTCCCTGCCTACGTGTCCATTTAAATCTCCTCCTATAAATAACTTCTCCGTCTGAGCAATTCCTTGCACCAAGTCTCCAAGGTCTTCCCAAAATTTCTCCTTCGAACTCGTATCCAACCCTACTTAAGGTGCGTACGCACTAATCACATTGATAAGTTCTTGTCCTATTACAATCTTGATTGCCATGATTCTATCTCCTACCCTCTTGACATCTACAACATCTTGTGTCAAGGTCTTGTCCACGATGAAGCCAACACCGTTTCTCATTCTATTTGTGCCAGAATACCAAAGTTTAAACCCTGAGTTTTCTAGATCCTTTGCCTTACGACCAACCCACTTAGTTTCTTGCAGGCACATAATATTTATCCTTCTCCTCACCATAACTTCCACTACTTCCATAGATTTTCCCGTTAAGGTTCCTATATTCCACGTTCCTAAACGCATTTTGCTCTCTTGAACTCTACCATTCTGTCCTAGCTTCTTCACCCTCCCCCGTCTAATAGGATCAAAGTACTTGTTTTGTGTGTCCCGTGTAAAGTTGATAGGAGCATATGCTCCCAAACAACTTTGAGTGGAGTCATTCGAAAAGAAGTTTCTATGGCCCCCTTGCTCATTTAACACTGCATCCGGGTGCCGATAGAGATACAATGACCCTTGCTCACTTATCACTGTGCTCGGGCCACACAGCGCGCCACTTACGGGTGACGCCCTATCTTTAGCGCGATTTCGTTCTGGATTCATTTTCATAAGGATTCGACGTAATCATGGAGTGCCGGCTGTCGACTACCTGACGCCCTCCCCCTCCTCCTTTATCCGGGCTTGGGACCGGCAATGTAAGATAAACTTACACAGGCAGAGTTAATTGAAGAAGATCAATTGCAAAAATTTAACAAGAGGTATGTAGGAAATAAAAATGTGTGTGTGGATAACATTATCCTATAATTTAAAAATGAGAAGTAAAAATTAACAAAAGCATATTTAAAAAGTTGACGTGGTAATATCGTACTACCTAATAATTTCTCATATTTAGATCCTCATCAAAATGTGCAAATTAAAAAAGTGGTTTGTTTGATAAAGCTAAAATGCATATGCAAATAAAAGATATTATGGTTGTTAAAAATGAATATCACATTGATGAGAAAAACGACTTTGTATGAGTTTATAAATAGTTGAACAACTTTCCATTTTGCCAATTAAATTTATGTTAAAACCTCAACTTTTAAGACAACAAAGAACTGTATAAAGGGGCCGGGGTACATGAAACTTGATAACAGAGAGAGCTATGAACAATAACAAACCAGGAAGTGTAGAGAGAGAGAAGAGAGAGAATCTTGTTTAACAAGGCATTGACTTATCTTATGAATACACAACATAAACTAACTCAAGAATTATTACAAGACCAATGATATATAGACACATGGATACATTTAACACCTGCAACTGAAACGTTTATATCCTGGACGAGGATTCTCTCCGAATCCTCATTGTGGGGATCGAGGATTTAATCAATCGTGTTCGTTTATCGTAAATCGTGTGCTCAGTTTTTGTTAAATACTATTTATATTCAATTTTAAATAAAAATTCAAATAATTTCTAATCACACGATGTACAATGAACGGACATGATTGATTGAATAGACACTATTTATATTCAATTTTAAATAAAAATTCAAAATTATTTGTTTTTACACGTAAGACATTGATAAAATAATATTTAGAAAAGCACTTCAAACTCAGTAATTTATTAACACGGAAAACCTAATTTATTTTGTATCAAGAAAAGTAAACAAAAAAACTTCAGGGTTACAAGTACATAAATTATAAGTTTTGTCTTCCATTTGAAATTTGATAGTGTTTTGTATAAATCGTAATGTGTTTTTTCTTATTTAATAACCTTGTCAATATAAGACTAAAAAAATAATGATATTTTCGAGTCTTTAAAGATATGTATGAGTAATGAATGGGCACCAAATTAAACCTTTTGATGACACGTTATATGATTTGCAAATTTGGTCCAAAATTTAGTCTACGCATTATCCTTTGTTGAAGATTAAACTTGAATTGGAATGAATATTTAAAAATAGCAACCCACATAGTTAGTAGCTAGTAATTAAAAATAAATTAGCAACCAAACAAAAATTTGTAAATATTGAAAAAAATAAACAATGCACATAGCATTTCAAACTTAGGACCTCTTGTTAATCTTAAATACAAAAACCATTGCTTTGAATTAAACTTCTAATCATTTAGCCAAATTTTATAAATTTATATTGTTATGAAAAGAAATTTGTAAAAATTGAAATTTAAATAAGCACACATGTTGTTTTGAACCCAAGACCTACTCATTAATTTCAAACAACAAATCACCGATTCTAGTTAAATTTCTTTGTCATTAAACCAAATTTTATAAATTTATACTCATATGAAAATATATATAAATATGCCACACCAATAATTTTGGTGCCCGTAATTTTTTTGAGCCCCGGACGATCGTCATGCCCGCACTAGGCCTGGGCCTGGGCCGGCCCTGGACACAAGGCCTTACCACGGTAACGACGACGACAATGTGATTATTCCAGTAATACCATACATACAAGCCTAGATTCTAAAATCAAGCTTATTAAGGAAAACTGCTTTAGTTGGAATGTATTAATCGAGCTTAAGCCACAAAAAATAAATATTATATGGTCATCAGCTGAAGAGACAGAGAAGAAAACCCTTGAAATGGGGAAGAGGGAAACACCTTTGCTGATTGCTGCAACAAATGGTGTGACTGAAATGGTGGGGAAGATACTTGAAAATTTTCCCGTGGCCATCCGGGACACTAACTCAGAGAAAAAGAATGTGGTATTGTTAGCTGCACAGAACAGGCAACTCCATGTGTACCAGCTCTTGCTAAACAAAAAAACCCCGATCAGAGACAATGTGTTCAGCGAAGTGGATAATGCGGGGAATAGTGTGTTACATCTCGCAGCAACAGCAATGTTAGAAGCCAATAACCCTTGCATTAATCTTGGGCCTGCGTTACAAATGCAAAGGGAAATCAAATGGTTTGAGGTAAGATTTTAAACCCATGGTCTTAATCATATTAAAGCCAATAATTATCACACCAAGTACTAGGGTTTGATCCTAGCCATGTGAAATAAAATTTTATCATGAGACATGGTTCCGGTTGCAGAATAGAGTCTCACATCAGAAATATGACAAAATATTATACAACTCATAAGTGGGATCTTCGCGGTTCCTCATCACCTATTTTTTTATTAGGATAATAGATATGCACAAATAGAACCTCTTTCAAAGTTTTGATAAAAAATAGAACTAAAGGACTCTAAAATGACGATAAATAAGCACTAAACCGTGGTTTCTGTTGGTATTCAGACCATCTTCATCTTTGAAAACTAGAATAAAAATGAGAGAAAGATGGAGATTTGAGTAAGAGGCAGCAGCGGCAGAGAAGAAATGAAAAACAGAGAGCAGATAGGCTTTCTACGAAGAGAGATATTTTCTTAATTGATTCAGATGACTCTTCCCAGTGCATAGGACAGCTGCCAGGACAATTGGGCAGCTCTTTACAATTCATCTATGCCATACATGCGCCAGTAGGTTAGAGTTTAGATCAAAAACCAAAATACCAAACTAGACATACAAGAATACAGCAGAGTGTTAACTTTAACAGTTTTATTGTCTGCAGTTTTATATTACCAGTGATTGAAAGTTAGATACATTTTTGGTCCCGCTGTTTTACATGAATATGGAGTCAATTTGGTCTATGTGCAAAAAATTTGAACGATTTCATCCACTTAAGATTGATCTTGAACATTAATTTCTTATGAATTAATGTGCAGTTCGTAAAAAGCTCCATGCCACCACACTTCTTTGCCCCCTACAACAAGAAAAACCAGACTGCAAGGGCTATATTCAGTGAATCACACACTGAGCTAGTCAAAACCGGAGGAGAATGGCTCACAAAGACCTCTGAGAACTGCTCTGAGAACTGCTCGGTCATGGGTGGCCTTATCGCCACTGTCGCCTTTGCCACTGCTACTGCAGTTCCTGGGGGCATCAGAGAGGCTACTGGCAGTCCAATCCTTCAAAACCAGGCAGCTTTTGAGGTGTTTTCCATCTTATCTCTCTTTGCGCTGTGCTCCTCCGTCACATCCATGGCCATATTCCTGAGCATCCTAATGTCCCGGTTCCCCGAAAGGGCTTTTGGAAAGGCGCTGCCTAGCAAGTTTGTAGTGGGCTTAACAATGCTCTTCATGTCCTTGCTTTCGATGCTGGTTTCATTTTGCGCTGGACATTTCTTCATGCTAAAGGATAAGCTCAAACACTTTGCCGTGCCTGTTTATGGTGAAGGGGATGAGGATGAAGATGTTGACAAGAATGATACAGAAAAGCACAATGGAGAACGGAGCAAAGTGCTAGCCAATGCCAAGGAATTGGGAGAAAAGTAGGTGATGGAGCAACGAGTTCACTTGCAAGATGGTGAGCCTCTTTTTCCCTTTCATTTCCTTATCTTTGTCATTTGTCTTATTCTTTTTATATTAATGTATAGAAACAAGAAAGTACATACCTTAATTTTATTGAATTGTCAGTTGTCTTTGGCCGAAAGGAAGAATTAAGCATGATATAAGCAACACATTGAAATAGAAGTTAAACTTGATTTCTGGACAGCTTGGAAGTGTCCTGAGATTGTAATTTGAATTAAAAGAGTATGGTGCTATATTGCAGAAAACTTATTTGTTTTACAGAGAAAAACTATGTTTCAAGTAGCCTATTTTGGCTCTCGATTTCCAGGTCCTTATGAGTTCTTTTTTATCCAAAATTTTGTGTATTGAAACTAGACATGTCCATGATCAAAACCATGGTCTAAAATATCGATGATATCGGAAATATCGGTAGTCCAAAAACACGGAAATTTCGATGGAAATATCGGGATATTATCGATATCGATAAAAATTGAATAAAAACCACGGAAATTGTAAGAAAAACTTAGAGATTTTATTGAAACTTTGCAGGATGTTTATTTAGTCAATTATCTATTAGTTTATCACAAAAAATTGGAAGGAAATGCATTGCATGATGGATTTAACTGATTTAAGTTGATTATATAGCGAGCTGGCAAACATTGTGAGTGTAGAAAATATGTAGTAATTAATGAAAGAAGTTTAAACACACCATAATCATTTATATATAATGAATTAGTACAATATTTTACACTTTATACATTGCATGGTAAGATACATGAGTGACTTAGTACCACATAGAGTTCCTATGAGGTTCAAAATTTTCACTATCTTCATCATCTCTATGTGTAGAGTAAGTGTATTGTGAAGAGTAGTCAGCAACCATGGCAATGGCTTTCAAGAACCAAAACCCAAAAGTCAATAGGAAACCGAATACTTCGGTATTTTTCGAGATTTCGGGATTACCAAACAAATGGGATTTGAAAACCAATCCCATATCGAAAAATTCGGTATTTTTCAGGATGGGATTCCCGAACTTCGGGATGGTTTTGGTTTGGGATTTTTCAGTTTGGGTTTGGGACTTTTTCGGTTTGGTTTGGGATTTTCGGGAATTTTTTCTAGCCCTACATGTAAGTGACCAAATAAAAAATAGAAAAATTAAAAACCACATGCCATTGACTAAGTAATTAATTGACACAATTTAAAATATAATACAACAAAAAATTTGGAATATGTGCAAATTTGTTTCTTGCAAAAAGAATTCAAAACAAAACCATATATATAAATATTTTGGCATATTTCACAAAAACATAAGTGATATAGTGGTCAAGGCGTTGAAGGAGTCAAATGGGAGGGGTTCGAATCCCTATATGCGCAAGATTGAGACTTTTCAGAAATTTTCAAGTATTTTTGGGTTTCATCTCGCGATATATTAACGATAATTAAGGGGATACATCATGAAATATCGTCATCTAAAAAAAACGATAATATCGGCGATATTTTGGTCCATGATCAAAACCCATCTGATTTCACTTAATTCCGTTGAGTTTTGGTTGACCAAAACTATGTTCAAATTTGAGTCATAAAGCTGCTAGACAGCAAGTTCTGCATTTCCAGTTTTGGGATCCATTTTATAGTTGGCATTACTTCCAATATAGTGCTCCGTTTTCTACCAATATTATGTGTTTATAAATTACACAAAACAAGTCTCCAAAAACATTTAAGTTTGTACCATTTAGTTCAGGATTGAGCGTTTAAAAGTGAGTTTAAATTTGGTTGATCAAAGCAGTTTTTATGCATCTTTTGTGGATGAGTATTGTTTCTATAGTACTCAATCATTCTCCTATTTTTCTTTAAATTATTTTTCCTTTATATTAGTGTTGTTATTTGAAGTATAAGTTGTACTAAAATAATGTCTATGCTACACAAGTTAATAATTTGTAATTATTCACTTCAAGGACGGAGCTAGAAATGTTTTTGACTGGGGGCGTCCTAAAACAAAAGGGTCAGGTACAATGAAAAATCTCTAAATTAAAAAGTTAAATATTAAATTGTAATGCCACAAACAAATGGATGAAGTAAATTCATATAAAATACTTTGCAGAGTAAAATTTTTATAGCAAGTTATGATACTTCATCGGTTGAATCCAATCTATTTATGAAACCCCCAATTCAATTGAGTTTGATTTAGGTTAGAAAATGTGGAATATTCCGAACCAAAATCAAAAATTTAATTGTTGTTTTAATTGTCATGACAATTTTTTTCATCGCCCAAAAATCTGAGTGGGGGCGGATGCCCCCTCTGGGCCTTAGGTAGCTCCGCCCTTGATTCACTTCCATGCTTGTTAATATGTGTTACTTGTGTTTGTTTTCATTTGTTCATGCTTTTGTAAATTGGTTTAGATTCGGGTGTTGTGCTAGAAAGTTTGGAGGACTTGTGTTGACAAAGGTAGTCGAACACGAGGTAGGAGGTTCTAAGGAAACCCCATTATTAGTATTATTCTTTATTATTCGTATTATTATGGGATCTAAATATTTTTTGATAATTATTTGGATATATGATTGCCAACTAAATGCCTATCTAAACTTAGCATTACTACCTAGCATGAGATAAAGATGAAAGTCAGAAGATGAGTAAGGTACTTTATTAGATTTTTAGTAGAAATAGTAATTAAGGGAATTCCTTGTGTTGTGCTTCATATGACTAGATGCTTGGTTGATATGTGGAATCGATAGCGTGTGTGCATACAATTATGTATGATGTGTGATGATGAGACTGCACCATGTAACTGTGGTACATATGTGATCTTGCTTGGTTAATTCGCATTAGGGGACCACACTGTTGGATACATGTCTATGGTCATACTTGGTTAATCCGCATTATTAGGGGACCATATGCATTATAGGGGTGACTTTGCTTGGTTAATCGCATTAGGGGGTCACTGCCTATGATTACTCTATTCCATAAGTAGTTCTGCTTGGTTAATCTGCATTAGGGGACCATAAGCATTATAGGGGTGGCTGCTTGGTTAATCCGTATTAGGGGTTCACTGCCTATTCAATTACTTGTTATATAGGTGGTTCTGTTTGGTTAATCTGCATTAAGGGACCACAATATTGGATATATGCTTATGGTCATGCTTGGTTAATCCGCATCAGGGACCAAACACATTATAGTTGACTCTGCTTGGTTAACCTAAATTAAGGGGTCACTGCCTATTTAATTACTCTATTCCATAGGTGGTCTTGCTCGGTTAATTCACATTAGAGACCATATACATTATAGGGGTGACTCTACTTGGTAAATCTGCATTAGGGGGTCACTGCCTATTGGATGGATATGCCAATGGTTTTGCCTGGTTAATCCTCATTTGGGAACCATGTGCATTCTAGAGTGAGATTTTGTTAAGTGCTCCGGGTACATAGCTCCGCTCGATTCTGTTGAGTGGTCTGGAAATGAATTTTAATCAGGATTCCGTTGAGTGGTCAGGATATCCCGCTATGCCTCGGTTCCATTGAGTGGTCCGGAATCGTTTTCTATTGGAGATTCCATTGAATTGGTTTGGAGCTAGATTCCTAGAAATCTTTATGATTCTTTGTGTCACTCTAGCCTTAATTTTGTACATGTTTATGGATGAAATATTTGAGAACCCTTTTGTTTTGAATTGGAAAGGCTGATGAATGTCTAGGTGACTCATTCGGGATTTCTGGCTAGATTATTCATATGTTTATCAATTATGGTTTATGATTGATTTATATTTCTCGGATTGGTTGATAAATATGGTTAATGGTTAATATTATGCATCGTTGGTTCATTGAAATGTTGTATGTTATCGTTTATGGAATTGTGCTACAAAATGTTATGATATCTGTGAATGAAAAACCTTAGTTGACATACGGGTTCGTTGCATAGTCTGGAATCGAGTGAATCATGCTCATTGAATTCCTTTGAGTAATTCTAGAGCTAAATGATTTTCTGCTAGGAAGTACTACGAGAAATCTCATACTTTAATGAAAGTGTGAACTATGAATGGCTTGATTCCGTCATCGGGTACGTAGGTAGTGTAACGCAAAGGTTAGATGCAGCCATAAGATAAAAGAAAAGTTGATATGTGTAGGACCTTTGATTTGTGTTTTAGTTATGTCTTGGAGGCGGGGCACGAAATATGAACAGGTATGTGGTGACGTCACGTGGCGATGCTAAACGTATATAGGGATCGGGGCGTGACATCTTAACCCTATTTTTTGTTAGGAGAGTGACCTATTGATGTAATTTCAATTTAGGTCCATTTTGGTTTCAATTCAACACCCGCTTGATCATTGGGTTTCATATTACATAATTTATTTTAAATTCAAATTTTGAGGCAATTAATATTAATGTTGACCATGAGATATCCAGTTGGTGAATTTTGAATACAAAGGTTGGGATGGGGTTTTGGTGGTCGTAATATTTCCCAATCTTCATTTTTGTTTTTTATTTTATTCGTGAATTTATTTATTATTTTATCATTTTCACGTTTTTTTTAAGTTCTTTGTATTATTATTTTATTTTTGAAGTAAGCTAAAAAGTGGGACCCATTGTTGCCACATGTACACTTAACTAAAATTAACTAGGGCTTAAGCATGTGACATTTGTAATGTAGATGTCTTAGGTTCGATTCTCGTCATAGGTGAATTTGAACCACATTATCGCTAGCTCATTGTAGGTTAAGCCAACGCCCCTCTCTTTTAGTGTAGATAATATCGTTTGTGGAAAAAAAAATGTAAGTGATATTTTTAATAGGTTGGGTACTTGTTTGGAATGTTTAAAAATGTTGAGACTGATTTGGAATGACTCTAAAAGGTTAGAGGATTTTAGGTACTTAATCCTAATTGTTGCTAAGAAAATTGAACTCAACTCACAAATAGACACTGATGTACTGGTTTGGAACTTTTAATTAGATGCATATTTGGTAGTGCTTTAAAAAACTCGCCTCATGGCGTGACTA